CAATTTTGTATTTGGGAGTTTGTAGGTCACTTTCCGAAAATTAATTTCGCAACTTCAAATTTCTTGTCTCTTGTGCAATTCCAAGACAAACACTAATCTTTAGCAAACAGACATTGAAAGCCTTCGAAAAAATGAACCAAAGCTCAAGCAGATAAGAAAAGTTAAACACTTCAAGATAAACATCTAAAAGCAGAAAAACTTATATCAACTTTGACATTGAACTTGCAGTGGCCTCGATGTAGCGGCAGCAGACACCACCTGCCGAAAAAGGAAGTAAAAAGGATGGGCCAGATGTTACCGAATTTTTCTGACCCTGAAAATTCTATTCTAGTGACCCATTTCGGAACTGACCATATGCACTTTTCGGCAATTATGAAACATACAGCAACTGGCGAATATCTAATGACCAGCCGTCCATCCATCGTTCCCACAGCGCATTATCATCTAGTCGGGTTGGGCGAAATTCCCGGAAAAGATTATGGTTCCGTGTTTCGGTTTTGTTACGAATTTTGCCCGGCGATGGACGGCGATTATGTGAGCCACAGCACAAATGTGCGGCGAATAATTGAATTTTCTTCTAAACTTTCTTTTACCACATCTGAAAATTCGTAGACCTCATCTTGGCAAACGGCTCAATTATGGCGTCCTGAATATCATTCACAGGTGAAAAGTAACATTTTCTATGTCTTCAGTGGTGCGTCCAACTGGTTATGTTTATCAGTGATCGCCACTGTTCCTAATTTGTCTTTGTTGATTTATTCATTGTTCTGTTATGTTGATTTTAGCTTCACTAATTTCAGTTTAGTGACTTTTAACCACCAGTTTTAATGATTTGCGTCATGGACCACTTAAACATTCCTGCTATGGTTTCGTTTCATACAATACTTGTCTTCAGTCAGAACTTATTAATTATTGATTTGAGAACTTCAAAATTGTGATCGGATAATTTTCGAGTTATTAGGCCGGCGTTCGATAACTTTAACCTCTTCAACACTTTAATTGGCATAACTAACAGCCGTTCGCTACAGGGTGTGTAAGTTGAGGGTTGTTTCCAAATAGAGGGCCGGGTGTGAAGATCATACCCCTACGAAAAATGAGGGCCATATTTCATTAGCCGCGTTCGATTAAAATCAGAAAGCTCAATTCTTATTTGCACGCCCTGAGGCCCAAAATTTCGGGGTATCGCATAGCAGAAGTGCAGGCGACAACATGCCAGCTTCAATGAGTCCACATCTGCTCCATCCATGGGCTGTGGAGGGTGTTAAACTGTGGAATTAGTGTAAACCGTGCAATTTTGGGTGGCAAAGTTTCAACGGCCGGTAGCGAAGCTTCGGAGCGTTCAATCGAAATAACAAAACGATTAAATTTCGTCCATAAAGGCACGTGGGAATTCGATAATCAATTCGCTAAACTGAAACCAATTTAACCACATGGTACCGAACTGCACAAGCTTGACTCCTGAATACGAAAACAATCTGTATTCCCATCAAATTTGCAAGAAAAACCAGATGTGAACCGAAACCTAGTTATACATGCAAACAACGTTTCGCTACTTCGTTGCTGGTTTTGTATTATTCACCAAATAACATCGATTTTACAAAGTCGCAAAACTGATGACTACATTCTTTCACGTTAGAGCCATCATCCATATGGCAGTGTTTCCATTATTTTTGCCTTCAACAATGAAATCGATATATCATAACGTTCGGTGGACAGTTACCTCATTGTTAAATGCCTAATGCCATTTGGGCTCGGATAACAATGCATATACGTGAAGACAGACACAACGAAGAAAGTTCAGTTATTACTAGTGAAAGAATGATCATGGGAGCGGCTTGATATGCTGAGTTTCTCGACTTTTCGAGTCTGATTAATGAAATTTTGCACAAAAAAAACTAACAGCTTATGAGCTTTGACCCATTAAAAACAGGATCATTAGAAGAAAATACTTTATTCCAAAACAAGTTCTTGTTCACTTAGCCTATTGCCAGCCACAGTTCACTGACCCATGGCTGTTAATAAATAAATAATGTAAATATTGAAAAATGTAGGTGCGACATTTGTGTGCCTAACTGGTTATTGGGTTTGCAAAAGTGCCATTTTCAGCTCGGCAAAACTAACGTTCATTTATCATTGCGCGCCGATCGTGACCAAACTGGGTCACATTCATTAAAGGTGATTAAAAAAAAAACATATAAGTGGTTCTGTGTTATCGCCTATTTTGTTTATAGTGACCCAGTTCGGAGCAGCACACTTGAACGCACGATTTGCGTACACCGCCGGCTTAAGTAGGTTGGAATATTTGAGGGAAAACCAAAAAAATGTATTCAACCAAACAAGCCTTTTGTAAATAATAATAATAAAGTGTCGCTAAAAAAACATCTCGATGCAAATGGAAAAAGAAAAAGGGGGAAAAACTTACTCGTCAAACCAGAAGCAAACATCCCCAAGAACACCGAACAAAACGTGTCAAACATAGGTAACAATTGTTGAAACAGTAGAGAACAAACTGACAAGAAAACGGATTAAAATTTAAAATACATTATGATACATATTGAATAATAAACGATTTTGCTCAAGACTTGTTTATATTGGCAGGAAGGACATTTTCCTTTTCTTCTCTTGTGTACTTAAAAACGAATGATTGCATACTAAAAACTAAATGATTCGGCGACAGCTTTGGGCAGTGACAAGCATTAAAATCAACTCTAACAAACAAATAAAAGTAYTACCMAAAGAAAKATTMCGATTTACGAAACGAGTGAWAGACAATAATTGGCAGTCTCAWGCCATCTCGACAAACTATTGTGRGGGAATTAGCAATTAATGAAACACGAATTAAATGTGAGCGAAAAATTAACCACGAATTAAATGTGAGCGAAAAATTAACAAATTAATCAAAGATGAATTGTCTGAATGAATATTCAAATGTTACTTTACATACACATTTTATTACAAACGGGTTTTGGCGTGATTTCCTCTGTTAGGACTTTGATAATTTTTTTTGGATGAACTTTCTGGCACTAGTTATTTACTGATTGATATAAATTAGAATAAAAAATCGCTCTATATTCAAAGCAGCTGCAAGGCAGGTCAAGTAGTCAATAATTTTATGCTGCGTCCATATCTGTACCTCCATAAATTGCCCCCGCAGGATTGATGGTGGTTCACAATTAGCCAATCCGTTCAATTGGTTCCCACCATGACCTTCATCAAAGATGAAAATGTGCGCGTTTGTGCTTGTAATTAACTATTCATTATTAGCGACTCTCTATATCACTGACATTGTGTTTCCATCCACGACCCAGCGGTCATTATGTGCCTGTTATGCGTCTAATCCACTCATCTAAGAGTCGATGGATGAACTATCTGACCTAATTTACCTAGACTGAAATCACCTTTTGCAGGTTGTAGAGTTTAGCTGCAATATTTTCCTTTTTGTTTAAAGTAACTGTGATCGATTTTTCAGTTCGGTTAATTTATGCGTGACCCTATCAATCCAATTTTTATTTGTTTGGACCCATTCTGTGCTTGATTAAACAATCAATTATTGGCAACAAAACTATGTTTAATGTAGCCAACAGAGTGACCTCAAAATGATAAAATAATGGGACAGTTTAAACAAAAATAATGATGTGTAAAATAGTGACCGTGTACTTGATTTTTTCATTATTTAAACATTGATGCTAGCACCCAACGTGCAAGTCATCAAAACACCAGTAACAGAAGGAAAGGAGATTTTCAGTTTTTCATATCAATTTGCATGGTTGCAAGGTGAAACCACCTGTAAATCGCGAAAGATAACAGAGAAACCACAAACAGCCCAATCATTTCAGAGAAAACTGCATATTAATGCAGTAAATGCGTTTGATTGGACATTGCTGATGTCTGTTCTATTTCAAGACCACTAAATCAAGAGCACTGTCGTGTGGTTTAGGTTTAATCAGATGTTTACATATTTGTGGTGAAACTGCTGAGATTTCCACAAGCACAGTTTTTCGATTCCAATTTTATCAAATTTCATAAAAAAACCCGGCAAAATCGGTTTAAAAAATCGATTGCTTCATTTTCAGGCATAAAAAGCACACGGAATTGAACACTGTGGATGGCATTATTTGCGCACCAGCCAAACATTCAAGGTACAATTCAAAACAGCTACTAGAATTTCAAAGTAGCCGCCTTATCATTAACCAGAAATGGTTCGGTTCCTGGTTGAAATGCCATTTTGTGGCCGAAAATAGCAAATCATGAACGCAATTCATGACCAGTCTAATGGTTTCGATTCCTTTATTGGCTGGCGTTTTTATAACTTTCATATCAAAAAGTCGATTTTTCAATTGCCATTGAACTTGCATTCTAACGCAACGAACAAGAGCCAATGAAAAGCACAGAAATAGAGTGCGATTGCTTGGAAGATGATCAAGAACTACATTAAAAAAATTGATTTGGATTTAAAAAAGTTAACTTTTCTGGTTTTTTTTATATCAAACCAGTTTAACGTTTATTTTTCCTGAGTTTATTGAAAAGTTTTTGTAAAACTTGTGTCTGCATTGTCTTTTTCATAAAACAATTCTGTTTTTGTGTATAAGTAGACAACGATTTTAGATGTCGCTTATTCAAAAGCGGATATATCTAAAGTTTATTCAAGCAAAATGGGTATTCATTTAAAAAAATGGTTTAGTCATTTTCTCAATATGTTTGCTTTTGAATGAACGCCCCTCAAATAACAAAATTCTGCAGATGTTCTGTGCATAAACCAGCATTTTTGAGTAGATATTTCCGCTCGTTCTTCTCGCATCTCAAGTCAATTCAATAAAATTTATACCGGTTAGGTCATTGCTAGTAATAAGTGAGACTAAAACGTGTTTTATGACCTTTTTATATTGAAAGTATCTCCTTCGAAGCGAGAGCTTAATTCTTAGCGATCATATAGGAAATACCTTAGAGGATATGTGTTGGCTTAACCACATCTGAAAGATTTTCTTGAAATCAAACAATAATTTAATTATATACGTTTTATTAATGATTTTATATACTTATTAAGCCATTTGGGGGACTGAATATTCGTACCTCTCTTGTCTCACGAAACCGATTAGCCGCGCCTTTTGAAGTAGGTACACTCGAAAGGAACTGAAAACGGTTTTTTTTTTGTGTCAATCAGGACAAATAAATGTGTTCTTAATGATGCATTTTGAGGATTTTTCAGCAATTTTTCAATGTTTTTTGAAACATTGGATTTGAGCTACTTTCACAGAAGACTCGGTGGTTAATATTGAAAAACTTACCTACATTAACTAAGTTTTCGTGCGCGCAAAGGGGGCTTGAGCGGGCTTACCTGGAACAAAAATAAAAAAGTTGAAGAAAAAGTCGATGTTACCACAGTGCAGAAGAACATAAAGAACACACAGTTTTCCTCACCAGTAATTTTCTACTAGACTGTCAAAAACCCAAAATGTTTCGAGCTTGAAGACTGTGTGTTCCTTGTCACTTCTACGCACAAAAAAATATTGAAATGGGGCATAATAAAGTGGATTTTTAATCTTGATCGTTGGTGGAACTTAAAGTGGATTTTTCCCCAAATCGTGTGTCCATACGTTGACTCAAAGCTAAGCGGCTTAAATTGGTATTCGGGCTGGGTCCACGAACGAAAGCCGAATTTTTATATCTGCTTATAATTTGGTGAAAGGATAAAATCGTACATGGACGGGGCAGCCAAACAAATCTCCAAGTATTTCAAGGTTGCTCAAGCAAGTTTCTAAATGGACGTCTTAATGCGTTTTTAACGTTGGGTGTCGATTATTTTTGATACATTCCTGCGGCTATTTGTGTTGCTAACAAGGCTGAGATTTTTATCCACTTCTTCACCTCCTTCATCTGCGAGATCAACCAAACGCTTAGAGTATTTAGGTTGAATAATGCAAAAACAAATTGGACAGGAGGAATAAATTCATTTATTGTAACCAAATACATACACACACACACACACATAAACAATCTCACTTCAAGTAAAAACATTAATATGTGTCTTTATGTACACATTGAGCCCCCAATCTACACATGTTAATCTCGAGAATGTTTACAAACAGTCTCAAAATAATCAGCCCATTTTCTTTAATGTTATTGTTGCCACGGTGATTGATTTATGTTTAAATTGTTGTTATCCTCAATGATTACACCATTACAAGAACCATTTCTAGTGCAACTACTAAACTTGGCCTTGGCAATTGATGACGCATTGACTTGATCAATTGCATCTTGAACGGACTTTTCTAGAACACTCGGTAGGGAAAGTGCAAAGTTGTGCAATAATGACGATCTTGACTCGAAAGCGACACGAATTCGAATCCGAAATCTGGGTCATCGAACGTATATGAAAACATTTAGCGAATTCACGCCGGATTTAACTCGAAATTCGGAATTTTCAAGGCTGCTTGCAATTATGGCGTAATCGATTTCACAATATGATGGAGCATCAGAAGAAAAAATCGAATCAATTCTGAGAAAAATCGTTCGATTTCCATTGGTCTGGTCTTTGAACGCAAATAATTCTTATCGCTTGAGCCTAAGTATGTAAAATCATTGACCTCCCTAATCCGATAGATTTGATAAAATGCAGTCTGCACTTTATCGGTTTTTGCACCGCATCAGTAGGATATTGCGAAAATATGAAAAGCAAACAGACTAATGCAATTTGGGAAAAACAACATGCACATTGTTTTCGATGGTTTATTTTTATCTCGGCATTTGTTTGCCTTGCGGTCGGATTAGACGAGTTGATCGATAATTTTTAGCTGTTTGCATTCCTGTTCATTGAACCACTGACTGCAAACATTGCAAATGATTCTGTATTCGCCAATTGGTGGAAAATCCAATCAACTCGGTGCAATTCAACGAATAGAATCCTTCATTTGCCGTTTCACTTGAGACAGCGAAACCATATGCAGCCAATTTATTTGTGAACATTCATAAAAATAATAAACATGTGTATTCAATACTCAAGCCATCCGTTTAGCCGTTTCGATAATTGCGATCCATTAAGGTCACATAATGAGATTTTGCTTGTTGCAACAAAACTGTTGCGCCTCCTATGACAAGCGGCAGCATCATCGCTCTTCGATGTTATATTAAACACTCAATTTTATATGTTTTATAAGCCAATTTTCATTTTTTCCTTTCTATTCGTTTTGTGCGACTATCAATAATCTTCCTTCGTGTTCATTAAGGCCGCTATTAAGGCTGCGCGACTGGAAAGATTGATGATGTTTCGGCTGGAGTTCGAAGAGGGTTTGCATTGCTGAATTCGGCTTCAATGGGTAAAAAATCGATGTTACGATGATTGACTTCTCCACATCAACTTTCTAATCAACTCATAATGCATTTTGCGTCTTAATAAATTGTCTGGTGTAGTTGTACTTTGGATTGTTAAACATTTGCGCATGAAGCAGTTGTTTTTTCTTGTCACTTCTTCTTAAAACTGTTTGGTTTTCTCAGACGGTAAAGTTTTGAGGCTTTCATTCTGTTCAGAATCCAAATATTTTAAGCTTTTTCCTATATAAACAATGGCCACTTTTCCACCCTCAGGGTTGAGATGTTGGTTCTCGCAATCAAACACTGCTATTGGCAATGATTTAGGCAGTAATTAGACGTTGTAGTACCGCGCCATTGTATTTTTCCATTGTGCTCATCAATTAAAAAGAGAAACTTGTTCGGCATCTTTCACTGTTAATTTATTCGATTCTTGTTAGCAGACACAAACAGTTCATTAAATCGGCGCGTTATCTTTAAGGTTATCATTGTCGCAAAATTTGCGAGAATCACAAATAATCATCCTAAAAAAAAAGTGGGTAAATGCACTCCATGTTCGTTTATTAACAACGCTTATCTGTCGAGTGCGCTATTGACACAATAATCTTCTTAATTATTGCACTGTCGTTTTATAAATAAATGCCTACTGCCGATTATTCTTCCAATGCGCTGAATAAATGATTTAATTTCTCACTCAAAGAATATTGGAAAAATAGGTTTTTTTCTTCAAATCCATTATCGTCAACTGTCACTGATACATGATAATTGGATTTGTATGGTGACTGTAATAGGCAAAAGTGACGATCTTTGACTTTATGTATCATAGTTTATCAGACTGTGGCGAATTAAAATGTTATAAACATCATATGGCGAAAGAAAAATGTATAATTTGAAATTTGCAAAGCAGCAAAAGCCCGAAAGCTTTGCTTCAAAGGCTTACAGTGAAATCAGGCAGTGGTTTATAAAGTGTACTCTTCAAAACTTTAAATTTTAACTTACAGTTTCCTTCAGCAGAGCAAATTGGTCAAAACTGAAGAGTTGTAATTTATATTGGTTTTGCTGAAATTGCTCCAATTTTTTGTGATAACAATAACCAAGTGTTAAAATTATGTATCTTTAATAATTGGCCGACAATAACCGTGCGTAGTGTAATTCCGGAATAACTGAACTAAAAGTTAAATATTTTCGCCTAGACTTGGCAAACCTGATCAAATACGAATTTCCTCTTGTTGGAAAAGTTTGCATTTTTGTGTCATTTTTATAGAGGATTTCAATAACGTTATTTCAATAAATCATTTAAAAAAAGGTTTGAAAAACAGGTAGGAATTTGGGGGGGAAAGTTGAATTTAAGAAGAAAAAATGCGTTCGTGTAGCTGTTTTCTGCAAATAGTGTGTAAGCACTAAAAGCTTAAAAAATAAATTTTCAAATCGCTAGCAAATCTAACGTTTGCATTTGGACATACAAAAATGAGGTTGAATCTGTATTAAAATTCAAACAATTTTTGCAAAAAATTGTCGAATAAATCGGGGAAAAATGCGTAGTGTAACTGCAGCATAAGAAAGTGAAAGTGATCGAAGAAAGCGAAAGTGAACGCAACTGAACACCTGATTGGTGCAGTCCTAGTGAGAACGAGTACTGTTTTAACAAAACGATTAAAATGGTGGTGAGTTTGACAAAAACTGACATAAACCGCTATTTCCCTCATGAGCGGCAATGAAAACTGATGTTGTGAAGTGAGGTTATGAAGTGAAGTTGACCAGTTCTGTGATGACACTCATGAACTTAGAGCATGACAGTTTGGCACGCAGTTTCTCAATTGATTAGGCTAATCAGTGATAATTTTTTCAGTCTTCTTCAATTTTGAATCACCTTGTCTGTTGGAATATCCGTCACCAACTCGAAAGTGTTTTCCAGTTTTGCAAAAAAAATTGTTGCATTTTGCCAACTGAATAATATTGTTCGGTCTAAATGATGGAAAATTAAATAATGGAAATCGAAGTGTGGATGATTAAAGAGCGCTTTATTCTCATATTTTTTTGTTTTTGAAACTAGTTCTAATATAAATGTTTACAACGTTGAACGTTGTCTGATGGGGTCGTTTACGGCTATTGCATTGTTAGATACTAATTTCGTTTTTTGGGCATCTTCGCTGCTTTTGGGCGCTTAAGGTTTGTTTAGGTTACTTGTTATTCGTCTGTCTTTTACGAATTCAAATAAGTGTCACCTTTTTTATGAGTCTGATTATGTACTTGTGCAAACATCAACACTTCAAGTTGTAGTCAATGGAAGTTCAAAATCAGCGTCATTGGGTCAGTGGTGTGCTACCGTTGAACTCCCAAGTGCAAATATGTTGCCTTCCCCCAATGTTTTTTTGCGAAGTTAGAAGTTCAACCTCCCAGCCAACTAAGTCAGTGACTCAGAAGCATGTTGGCTGCACTTAGCTGCTGAGAGAAGACATTAGCACTTCATTAGGAGCCGGGGCTTAAAAGTGATGGCATAACAATGGTCACTTCGAGTTGTGAAAAGGGCTGGCAAGTGCTAATGTTTACCTGACATGGAGCTGGTATCAGACTTGGCAATGATGGTGTGTCCAGTGATCGCACCGTATCCGTTTTGAATGATCAGATTCCGGGCATGATTCTGGGCGTTCAGATCTAAATCCCAGAATTCGAGGTCCACCTCCCCAATGTCTGTGGACGCGAGCGAATTCGCCGGACTCATTACCAAAGTGGTTGACGATGACGTCACTTCCGCACTAGAATCCTCCGGGGTAAGTCTAATGGCCTGCAACCCTGCCCATCTACGTTTCATTATTTACCCTCCGGAGCCGAAAGGGTTCGCGTCCCGCGCGCTCCTTGATCTCACCACACTGGTACACAACAAAACAATATACCGGTGCCGAGTCGACTGTTCCGGGTCAAAATTTGGATTGATCGCGCGCTACTGCCGCAAACTATGTAAGTGGGTCCTGTTTATCGAAAGTATATCTCCGTAAGTCACTCTCGATGAGCCTGGCACTCACTGATGCC